CCCAGTCAGAAGTGGCTCTGCGGCAGGTTCCCCTTGGCTTCCAAGTTCTGTTAGCGTTCACGCAAATGGAAATCCGGCTCATTTTAAAAATGAGCATTTGTAGCTACATTTTAGCCAAAGTAAATGTGTGAATTGATTTTAGATGGTTTCCAAAGTTTTCCCCCCTAGTTCGGCAGGGGAAATGTCGAAATCAGGTCCGTATTTGTTGAGCACGGCCAGTTCCATCCCCCAAACTGGTCACCACGGAATGGGAACCAGGGCCTGGAGACTGGGGGTAGTGGGGAGGGTGGAGACAGAGGCTGGGACCTTTGGGTCACAAGTGAAGTAAGTACTGTAGGGCTGGAGGTGGTTGATTTCCCGAAGAATTTAAACATCTTTATCTGGACAGTCATTGCTAGAGGGAGAAATGACTCAAGCTAGGTAGCTTGGGAAGAATTTGTTTCCTGGTACAGAGCAGGTAGAGTTTGGGGGAAGATGACAGGCCAGTCTGAAGGGATTATTGTTTTCACTGCAGACACACACACACACACACATGTTAAATGCCAGTTACATTAATGTGAGAAGTATGTTAACTTCTTTCCTCTCCTAAATACTGTTAGTGTTTGATGACTATTTGGATCTTTGTGTTTCTACAATGATGCCTAAATCACTATTTCAAAGGAGGACTTAGAATTTACAACAGTTATCGGCATCTGTCAGTATATCTGTATCTATCAATATAGAGATATATCTCCCGGAGCCTGTAGACTGTTAGTCTAAGGCAGCTCGGTCCTCAGACAAGTACTTAGAGTTCCCACCGTCCCACAGGAAACTGCAACCGGGAGAGAACCAACTCTACCGTGGTCCTTCCATGTGTGTGATGAATCCTTTCCAGTGCATTAGAGGAACAAAGGTTGGCATTTCGAGCCCCTGCCGGACTCCCTGGGAGAAACACGTGGCAGTAGGCTTCAATAAAGAAAACCTTATGAGAAAGATTTAGTCTGTGTTGTGGGAGCCCTGTGACTCGACAGCACTGTGCAAATAACAATAGCCAGTATATTAACACAGGGTTAAGCATTCTGTATGTTCTTGAAGAAAAAAAAATCCATTTAAACTTGAACCTGATTAAGCTTTTTTTTGCTTTAGTTTTGTCTAAGTGTGTTAGACCTTCCACGTCCACTCATGCTTCCACTTCCTCATCTCTCCCATCAGTGCCTTCTACAATCACCGAGGACTCTCTTTGGGACAGATCTTTAGGGCCTGAAGATTAAAATGACCCTTTGTTAGGTTAGGGTTCTTGATCTTCAGAGAAAAGACAAAG